TCTAAATTTCACAACTATCTAATCTATTATTTTTATAAAGAACTCGTGATTTTGGTAAAAATAATAAAACATTGAAAGGAATATGATCCACCTTCGTATTTAAAACATCATTTAAAAACGATGTCAAATTTCAACTAAATAAATAAAAATAATAAATTTAAAAAATTAAAATCTGAAAGAGTTCCGATTTTGACGGTCGCCCAAAAGAGCTGTTTTAAAGTTTAATATGGTCAATTAGTAGAGATTATCAATAACATTTTATAGGATCCTAATTAAACCTGTGCCCACCAGCGGCCGAGCGGTAAAGTCGCTGAACACTGGTAGTTCGGTCCGAGGTTCGAATCCCGCGAACGGGCTGGCTGCATGGGTGTTTTCGTGGTTTCCCCCATGCGTAACGTGTATACGAGCTAGTTTCCCTTAGAAATTCCTCCACGAAGGCATCCCTCCCATTAGGCAGATAGCCCTAGTGTGCTTTGCCATAATTAAACACACCACCACACCACACCTAATTAAACCTAATTATTTTATAGGATACTGAATGAATATATATTGAAACTGACATGGGAACGTTCTATATCTTCTATGTATTTGAAAAGTGAGAAAAGTGAATAAATATATAAAAATTAAAAAAGGATAAAAATCTGAAAGGTTTCAGATTTTAAATTACATCCAAAAGGGCGTTGTTTTTTAACATTTTGTCTGTTACCTTTATTTATTAAATATCACGTTCTTCGCACTTAAACCATAAAATTCAGTTCAAGAGCAATATCACAAAATAGTTTTAAAGTGAACATATCCCCACTTTAGAATTTCCGATACGCAGTCTCAGGCGCTGGAGATAAATATGTTTTTTCTGTACAACGTTGCCATTGCTCGCTTTGAAATCCTTGAGTTTGTTAATCAAAAATTCTTTAAAGATTTACAAAATAGGAAATCGATAATAAAACAAATTCCAAATTTGAGCTTCCACATGGCCATATTCGCAGTAGGATTACGTCATTCAAAATTCGATGGCTCCATGGACTGTTGTTTTATCACGATACGAGAAATATATATACATTTATGCAGATTTTTCATTATTTAATTTCTTCAAATATAATGCAGGACTCTAACATTTGGTGGCAACTGTTTAAAAAGTGAAACGGACATTTATAGTGAACCAACGCAAAATTGCAAAACGAAAACAATAGTTCTTCAGGGACAAAGCCCCTTTGGGCTAATAATTTGAAAATACTGAATGTTTTTAGTTAGATGCATCATGTATTTAATCCATTTCATTTAAATCAATCTCATTTAAAAGTTAAAGAATGATAATCTTAAGAACTGTATCTATTGCTTTTAAATAACTTAGTATGTTAATCCATAACTTGCAGATTCAATTTCAAAGACAAATATCGTACATTATGACTAATGGCAGCATACTCGAATGAAATTTGAAGCAACTCAAAATCGTGTTTCGGGACGAATAGCCCTTTTTGGGTAAAAAGCATGTTAGTTTGTTAAAATTACCCCCTTTTTTGTCTCCTTGTTTAAACAATTGTATGAATTCCTATACTGTGTCCCATGCATATCTGTAAATGTATGCTAAAATATTGGAAATTTTACTAAAATTTAAGTAATGAGCGGTTTATCGCTAAAGGCACTGAAAATTGAGAATTCGATCCGAGTTCAAATCGCGGTCTACGACAATGGCTGCTTGAACACTTTGGTGTTTTTCCTGTGCGTAGCATGGATATGAGTCTGATTCTGTTACAAAGTCCTCCCTTCAGACAAATAGCTCTTGTGTGCTTTGCGATAACCTAACAAATAATTCTGATAGCCCCAGGATATAAGATAAACAGTTTTGAAGAAAGTCTGACTTCTTTTAAATATGAAGCCAAGGAGTTTTATACTGGGGTGGAAGCAATTTAGAAGGGCTGAACCGATACACTTCATAAACTCCATACTGCATAATTTGGCTTATTGACCTAATTACATACAATTCTGATGCAAAATGTAATACCTTATCTCTTAATCCATTATTTTAAGATGTTATTTTAACTGTAAGCCATATTTTTGGCTAACTGCAATCGATTTCATTTTGTTAAATAAAATTAATAATTAATCTGCATATAATTGCATAGATGAACTTAGTAATGTGTTATTTATATATTTAAAGCGAACTTAAAAGCATATATAAAACGTCGAGCGGGCTTCCAGTTACACCACAAAGGAGTGTGAAGATGGAGGGAGAAAATACTTTATAAAATGCAGTTCAAATCTCTATAATTTATTAAGACAAATCAGACTGAATAAAAATTAATTATAAAAATTATGATGGAAGTTACTTTAAAAACAAAACAATGCTCTCTGTATTCTTCCTCAAATATGCATGTAACGAAATATACTGAAATTTCATTAATTTCATTTAGGTGATGAAAAATCTTACTTAGTTCAAAATATATAAAGCTTAAAAACGGTGATTAAGAATTGGAAGCTAATAAAAGCTGCTGATAAATATCGGTGCATTCCTGCCCAAAGAACGAATAGATAGTATATGTAATGAAATCCGAAGAAAAACGCAAACTATTATCAATATGCCACACTCCTGCAGAGGAAGGGTAGAATTTCTTCAGAACAGAAGCTTCGAAATATATACATTTCAAAAGTTTGAAAGGAAGGAATTATGAATTCATGTCCTTCCCAGCGTTGTCACATCAAGCGATTTTCACTAATTTGCTGCTTCTGAGGAACATGTGCGAGTAAAATTTATGTTTTTGCGACATTGCGAATTTTCTGGTACTTTATCACTTCGTTGTGGTACTTTTTCGTATTTATTTATTAAATTTATAATAAAATTTGTATATGTTAATAAAATGTATCAGTTAAAATTAATTTGGAATAAAAAAATAATAAATTATTTAGGCTTAAATAAAAGTTGGTAGCTGGCAAAACTACAGTTTTCAACACTAGTAGTCGGTATTTACATGTGTTTTATTGATTGCTTTGTTTAATGTGTTGGTGATGTATGAGTAGGGTTCCAATGTTTAAGTCAGATTATAGTTGTTGTATTAACTGAAAAGCATTAATAATGAAAGCATTTCTGAACTTACTGAATTACTGAAAATTAACTGAAAAGCATTAAAGTAAAGCAGGAAACAATGAATTTAAAAAATACAATGCCAGTTCAAAAGACAGTACAACAATTTTAGCAATCCAAACGTGAAAATTCATCTAACAACGGACATAAATAAATTAACCAAAAAATAATAACCTAAAATAACTGAAAGTTAATTAAAAAGAGAAAAAGAGGTTTAAACAATGGGAAATTAGCGATATGGTATTGAAATTTTCTTTAAAAATAATATATGTAATATAACGACAAAAATTTAATTACAACCGCCGGAGACTGAATTTGTGATGACGTCAAAGGTTATTTGAGTTTACAAACATCTGACGTCATAAAATCACGGAATCTTATATGCCACATGTTACTTTTGGCGACTTTTTGAATCTTCTCTTGCTACTTCAGCTCAAGAATTTTTGACAACATTGAGTAATTCATACCAAAACAGGATTTTTAAGGACCAGAAATGAAAAAAATTAAAGTCGTATCAACAAATTAAAAATTAGTTACAGTAATTATCTATTATGAAATAGATTAATCTTTTATATCATTTTAAGAATAAAATAGTATAGTGTAGGATGCATTATCATTCAATACAATTTAACACTGGACACAGTTCTAAAATGAATTCAAGAATAAAAGAAATTCCCTAAAAGTTATTAATTAACATTAAATTAGAATAAAATATCTTGAAAATTTTTATGTTTCACACTTATAACAATACAACCAGAAATTTTAAGATTTACATAATCAATATTACAAATTTTTTTAAATTGAAATAAACGGTCTTTGAAAAGTCTCTATATTAAACAAGAATTTTAATTTTGTGCTTTTTAATCGGAAAAATTTTCAGCTATTTTAGCATCTAGTATAAGATCTAAACCTTTTTTGTTTTATTTCTTAAAATGCGTATGTAATTTTACTAAAGGGATCTTGGATTGTTTTAAAAGTTATATTTAATTTTTATGAAATTGATTTTTTTCTTTAATTTAAAATGCCAAATCATGAATATGTGTGTCATTTAAGGCATTTTCAGAATCGGAAATATGTATCAACTACCAGTGGTTGCGAAAATCAAGGCTTAATAAGGACTTTTATTGACACAACGTATAATATACCCAAATCTATTTTTACATGGATAAATAATTTATACTGATCTAGCATGATTAAAAAAAAAAAATGGTCAAGTGAATTTAATTCTGAGAAAATGTTACTACATAAGAATTTTCCAAATTTAAATTTTTGATAGGGAGACCTATATAATTAAAATTTGGGGATTAATTCTCCTATCTGAAAATTCATTAGAAACACATTTTGTACATTAAAATTCCTAAAACAAAAATTATGCTAATGTACCTCTGTAATTATGTAACAAGTTTTTTTTCCATTTCCATTTTGGGTGACGAAATGTATACATAAATTTTCCTTTGTTTTAAAATCCAAAAACAAATTTGAATTGATGGCGAAGGGGAAAAATAGTAAAACTGATTCAATTAGACCGCATACTGTAGAAGTGTGTACAAAATAAGAAACATTACAACTGATTGTTTGTTTAAAACATCAAACAACAAAATTTTTCTTAATACCTTATCTATCTATCTATATAAGAGAATCTGAATATTTTTTAACACGGTAACGATACATAAGACATATCTACCTAGTTTCAGTGCTAATATGTAATGTTATATTTAGATTCTTAATAACTAAATTTTCATAGAAAGAAAATGCATAGTTAATACTTGCACAACATAATATACGTATTCATGCACATGGATATTTGAACTGCGTCAATAAATAATTAGTACTGAAAATACATAATTTTCCTTTTCTTTCAAAACAATATTTCAGTAAAAATTTGGTTTAGTTTTTTGATAAAAATTTTGAAATTACTTACTTTCTACAACATATCCAGTAGCAGATTTACTTTCGTCTACGTCGATAACTGTGTCCATCACTTTTATCTGAACTCTTCTTTTCAGAGCCTAGAAAATAAATTAGTCAACAAATTTCCCACACGTTCTTGGTTGCCCAAAGAGTGAAAATTGGAAGCTAATTCAAACATGCGCGCTATTTAAATAAGCATGAGCAGAGTGATTTGTTGTCAGAATAGAACTGGAAATAATGCCAAGGCGATATCTCGCCAAAATGTACACCTGTAATGGAGAAAAATATTTTATCAACTGATATTTGCATAATAAGAAAAAGCACTTATGTTTTTAAAATTTCCTAATAAAATAGAATAAAATTCATCATAATGCTTTTATTTTAGAAAAAAATAGACCGGAGAAAGGAAACGGAAAATAAGGCACCATTCATTTTCCAGTAGGAAAAATAAGGCATGTTCTAAAATGTCGCCAAGCTGGGAGAGAAAAATTTTCTTACGACAACCACACTTTCGGCTGGCCCCTCCATGGGTTGGCCAGCATACGTTCCCTGCGATGACTGCAAGAAGATAACCGAGCCAAAGAGCGTGGCTGCTACTGCCCCACAGCATAAACGGCATGGAGGTAGGACTTCCTGGTGGCATGGCAAATGCGGTCAAGAGCAGGAGACTGACGTTAATTACGGAAGGGGAAAGTAAACGGCTGTGTTAGGGATCATAAGGGGAGATATATTTAAAACAAAAATTGTTTTTAGATCTCATTCAGTATCAGTATATCAGAAATAAATGATGCACATGGTATCAGAATGGAGACAAATTACATAAGATACGAAAAGTTATATTTATTTGTTTATTAACATTTCATTATTACATTGTTTTCGTTCAGGAATTTCCTGTCCACCCCCCTCTGAGCAATACATACAGGTACAATGTAAGTCAGGCTGAAAAAGCACTGCTATAAACAAATAATCCGAACCTAATTCCAAGTTTGAACAGCCCTTATTAATACTAATTGTTTACGGAAAGCATTCTAGTTTTTGAAAAGCTTCGTATCATCTAACATAAAATTAATTAATCATCTTAAGAATGATTTTGTGTTGAATGGCAAAACATATGAGGGTTGGCTAGGTATGATTTCATGGAGAATTTCTAAGGAAAATGGGCTCATATTTACATACCTTAAGGAAATCCACGAAAAATGCTTACACAAAGTGGTACGTTGCAGTAGGGTTCATTCAATCCATCTGTTAAATTTGCATCTAATTGTCAAGTGCTCAATTTTTTGGCTAGTTTATACATTCAAAGGAAAATACAAGTTACTCACTGAACTTCGCACTTTAGTCTGAATAACCTTTAAACCCGATGAACAGTATATTTCTGTGACAAGGCGAGCTTTCTGATTGTACAATCTGTTTTATATTTAGTGAGCTTGTGCCGAATAAGTTTATTCGCTATTTTATGTAATTTCTGCAATATTTGTAATTCTTTTATTTTTTTCATTTAATTTTATTTTTTTAAAGATAATTTCTTTTTATTCACAAATATTTATTTTCTATTTTTCTAATAAGTGAAACATTAATTAGATTCTGATATTTTGTTTTCATAAGATAAAGTACGAAACCTTTGTTAAAATTTTCATAGCTCACTGTAGTTCAGTGACCGTATTTTAATGTGCCATTTTATTCGCGAGTCCATTCATCCGATTTGAAACTTGGAAATGAATTAAGAAATCGATCTTTCCATTCAATTGGTCCTATCGACGACTTGAATACAGTGAGCCTGAGTAAACGGGAAGTATCTTTCCTAAATATAAAAACCATTATAAGCGCATTTCTAAATAACAATTTTAAAATATAATTTTGACAGCTGTTTGACGCTGCTTTCAAAGGATTTCTTAATTAGAAATATAAATATATATACTGAAAATTACGAAGGAGAATAACATATACGTGTCTGTTATTACGAGAATAAGTATTGCTAATGTATGCAAAAGGCCTTGAAAAACTCATTTTGATTCACCTTTCTTTCTTTATGAATGACGAATATGTTTGCCATACACGTGATCAAATAGGGAATAAGTGTTTAATCCGTAAATTATAAGTATTGATTAACATTTCATATAACTACTTCTAATTGAGGCTTTCTAAGAGCAAAACCCCCTTAATTTTGACTCGCATCTTTTAATTTTAGACTAAAATATGAGCATAGAATCTACCTTTAAACAATGGGATTTTTTTTTAAACACTGTGGCATGAGAGTGCCTAGTAATAATAGTTTTTAGCGTCGCTAAGAATCATTTCTGGATTCTCATATTGATTTTTTTCCCAAAAGATATTAAAAGCTGCAATTGACAAGTATGAGCAATTAATAATACATACATATATAAGTAAGCATACCATAAAGAAAAATGAACCCCTAAACAAAGCTGATCGACTGCTATTGAACTCTAAAGAGGGGTTTATCAGAGGGAAAATGGCAATTAAAATCAATTAAAAATTCCATTTAATTGATTTTAATTATTTATTTACTGTATCGATTTATTACTTATTGTAATGGATTGGAATATTTGAATATGAATTAGCTGAATATTTAAGAATAAATTATGACTGCGAGAATAGGAAAATAAAACATTTTTGAATATTTACTTTCTTATAGAATGCAGATGAATTCATTTTTACTCAACGAAAATCAAAATTTAGTAGCTAATTAATCTGTCCTGTATCGAGCACTTTAGTTTCAGTGATCCGTATTAATGTGCGCTTTTTTTTTTTTTAAATTTAAATGCTTCAAGAATAATTAGAAAAGGACATAATTCTCTTCTTACCCTTAAATTCTTCAATAAAAAAACTGCATTTTCAGCTATAACCAAGTGAAATAATTTCTAAATATAATTCAAAGCATGAAAAATAAGGTACATAAACAGCTTGGAACTGGAAATGGAACTAGCATTGAGATTCTCTTTAAGAAATATGGTGAAGCTTAAAAAAAACGTCACGAAGTGAAGTAATTCCGTAGAATATTTTCTAACTCTTTATGATTAAATTGCACTCAATTATACTTTATAAACGACATGTAAATACTATTTAATGTATAGTGTGGATGTGTGTGGGGGGGGGGGGCTCACTAGCGGCTGAGCTTAAAGTCGTTGAACTTGGCAGGTCGATACGGGGTTCGAATCCGGATCAGCTGTATTGGCGTTTTCGAGGCTTTCCCACGTGTAACGTGCATAAGAGTCAGTTTTGTTAGAAAGTTCTCTACGAGGCACCCTTACCCTTAGGCAAATAACCGTCGAATGCTTTGCTATAATATAATCAAACAAACCAGACCAAACATTGATATATAAATAAGTAGCTTAAAAAACTGCTATATTTTTATGTATACTTATCAAGTAGTATTTCAATATGTATAATGATTAAAAAGAAGGAAAAGTCGGATCCTAACTGATTGTTATAATGTAATCCCTATGAAGACCCTAAACAATTCTTTCTTACTTAAAGTCGTAACCCAAAAAGAGACAAATTAAACGTCAGATACGTATACAATACTGAATCTAATACAAAAAAATACAAATATAAAAATAAATTATATATGTACGAAACCTAACTAACTTTTTATATTTGATATTACGTAAATATATGTATGGTAATAAAATTGTATAATAAAAATTTTATACCTTGTCTATATTTGATTCCATTATATATACCTATACATAGATATATAATTAAGGATTCCATTTAAGGATATATAGTAGTTAATACTACTAACTATAAAACACAAAATTTTTCAGTATTATTTAACTCAATCTTAAGAATTTTGCGTTAGTTTGCGTTATTTATTCATAAGTTCAAATAAAAACAAATATTGTTTATGTCATAGAAAATTAAACTAAAAAGCAGCGACCACCATTGTAATTGAGAAACAGTCCTTACCGCGAAAAGGTTGAAAGCCATTCGTTTGTTTGACTATATCTCACACTCAGCTACTTCGCATACATGGAACTAGCATTCGAAATGAAAAACTCAAATTTACTACAAATTCATTCGTGTAACAAATATCTGTCTTCCACCTATGGCTTTAAAAAAATGTTATTTATCTTACAGTTATCATTAAGTAATACATTTTCATTGTACAAAATTGCATTCATCGAAGAATTCAATTTATATTTTCTCTGTATAAAACTGAATGTAGTAAGTTAGATGTTTAAACGAACCCCACATTTTGTCAAGAGCAGGAGCAAGATATCCCCTACTTTTCAGCCCCCCCCCAGGAAAAAAGGGGTTCTAAATTTACGACCTGACCGCATATGGGTGTATTTCGGACTTCCTACCTCCATGATAAACGGAGGGTGTCAAGCAAAGAAGAGATTCTTTGGTGTCAAGTGACTCATTGTCAGATTACCCCATGTGGATAAGTGAAGCAGTGATTGTCGCATAAATAGAGTTCATCTCAACGTAGCTGTGGAAGTAGTATTAAAACAATTGAAATTTAAAATCCCGTCTAAAAAGATGTGATTTTCAATTGCGAAAATTAGAATATTATTCATTTTGTACATATTTATATATCACATAATTTATTTTTCAGCTAATTTTAATTAAAAACCAACGTATTTGTAATACAGGAAACATTTGCTTAGTTTATCAGTGAACTCTGAAAACGAAAGCAAGAGAATTACAATCATTGAAAATTAGGAGTCTTTTTTTTTAAATTGTGCTAAATTTTTAAGGTCTAATTAAAATGGATTCTATAGCCACATCATTTAATTTTAAACATTTAATATGCAATGCATCTTTCTTAGTGATTGCTTTTAAATAGCTTTTAAATTAGCTTTTAAAAAAGCAGTATTTATCAGGGATAAAAAGAAGGGCTAGTTCATTCCTTTGTTCGATTCCTCGGCGACGCGAGCTTACCGACAGGGAGTTAACCGACAGTAATTTGACGTCACTGTGCTGCACGTGTTCTGATTTCGCGCGTTATAAAACTGTAGTTTCATTGAGCTTCGAGGCGATTTTTCTGGACGTCGCATATCCCAAATTAATTTTAATTTTTAATCATATATATTTGTTTTCTAACAATGTAACTATTGTTAACTATCCATACTGTAAAGTATCGTTTATGTAATATGGTTTTTTGCGCTGTAGCCGCGTGCCGTAACACTTATAGAAATACGAAAGGAAGAGATATTGTATTTTATGCTATTGACGAAAGAACGGATACATAAGTGTCGAAGACAAAATTCTATCAATGAGAAGAGCCGAAGAATTCGCAGCAAATATTTTCTATGCAGTGTTTATGAAGATGATATGAAAAATCGCTTACTTGAATAGCCACAAAAGAAACTGTTGAAATGCAATGCTGTGCCGAAAGTAAATTTTACTTGTACAGTAAACGAAATAACACCAAGAAATCGGAGATATTTGAAAAGAAAACTAATGCAGAGTGCTTTTGAAAGACTAAGAATTTAGCCCAAAGAAAATTCATTCTATGGCCGAAAATGAAATTGATGATGACAATAATAACTCAAATGTGAAGGATATTGAAATAAAACGCATAAAAGATAGTGTAAAGACCCTGAATGCTT